GGGCCAGGCAGCCCTCTTCCCTCTTCCCTCCCCAGGGCGCTGTGGTGAGGGGTCTCTGGGCACCGCGGGCAGTGAGCAAACAGCACTGGGCACACAGCACACATGCGGTCGGGGCTGTCCCTGAGGAGTCGGCAAGATCGCCACACAGAGGATGGGGAAACGCTGGGAGGGAGCTGTCCAAGGGCCGCGTGGTTCCCCAGGGCCAGAGGACACAGGGCTAAGCGAAACCCAACAGGTTCAGGCCGAATTCACGAGGCACATGTGTGCAGCTGAGGATGGCCGTGTCCGCAGCTGCCACCCGGGGCCCAGGACACTGCACAGCACACTGTGAGCCCTCAGTGGGACACAGAGCTGCCCGGTGCAGTGTCAGGCTGCAGGGGCTCCACAGCCCCAGTGGGAAAGGCCCCGGGGGGAGCGGCACGGGACTGTGCTCCCAGGACACCCTGCCTCCTCCTCGACACCTCTGGGAGGCTGCAGGCTCCCTACAGGCTCCCCTCCAATGCCCCTTCCTTCCCAAGACCCGAAAGGGGCAGGCGCAGCCCACACACCCTGATCTCACGCCTGCCTGGGGCTCCTGGGCCAGCACTGTGGCCTGGGCTGGACTCTTCCATGTGCCCTGCAGCAGGGGCCCTGGAGAGGCCTGGTCTGCAAAACGCCGCTCCAAGGCCCACAGCAACCCTACAGCACCGCGTCCTTCTTCCTCCCTCTGCCCCAGGTCGGCGTGTACACACTGCTGGGTGTGCATACGTGCGTGGCATGAGTGTGTACGAGTGACCGCACCACCATAAAGGCGGTGGTCCTTCTGGGCTGGCTCCTGGGAAACCCTCCAGACTGCCCTGATTTAGCCTGGATTTAAGTTTGTTCGCTCTGTTTTGAGAGCATGACGAACACAGTCCCAGTCCGGCTCTTCTGCAGCCGGCCGCCCCGGCGCGGCACTGAGATGAGTGGGCAGACCCACGCTCCCTCAGGGCAGCTGGTTAGGAGAGTCTTCCTGGAGCCGAGAATTCCAGCCGTGGCTTAAAGGGGCTCTCCCGCCCAATGTGGTGTGTGAGCGCTCTGCCGGGCCGGCCTAAGCTGCGCCAGGCGCCAGGCGAGGGACGGACATTCCTGGCGAATGGGCCCTCGCCTCTCTGCCACGCCCTTTGGTGATGTGTGGAAGCCAGGGGTGCGGAATCCGGCCCGACCTCGCTCTCCCCTCCCCTCCGCCAAGTGGCCTCTGGGGCTCGGGGTCCGCCCTCGTGGCGGCTGTGCAGCGCGCGGGTGTGCCCTCTCCGGGTGTGCCCTCTCCGCCACGCCGCACGTCCTCCAGGTGGCGCGCGAGCGTGCCTCGGCCTTCTTCCGGTGCTCCTGGTGCGCTCCGGGTCGAGTCGGTAAGGGAGGAAAAAGGAGGCTCGAAATAAATTTTAAAAGGGGGGGGCTCTCCCTCCAAACAGGCTGGAGACGGTCCCTCTGTCACTCCTCCAGAAGTGACCTGTCAGCTGGTCAGTCAATGCCTCTGCTTTTTGGGTTTGTTTTTTGGAGACAGGACCTCACTGTTACCTCAGGCTGGTCTGGAACCAAAGCAGTCCTCCTGCCTCAGCCTCTCGAGTGCTGGAACGTGCTGTTAGGAGCAGCTGTGAGCGCGGCCTTCCCACCCGACCAGTCCAGTGCCCACCCTGCCCACCAGCCTCCTGCCCTCCCGCCCAGGCCCAGGAACCCTGCCAGAGCCAGGCCCTTCCGACTCCGGCCCACGGCCCCGAGCCCTCCCTGTCCTCCCATCCCCACGTCCCCAGCGCTGGCGTCCTGGGACTTGGCAGAAGGGAGTCCGAAGTCAGCTGGGAGAAGCAGCCCCCCCCCGCCACTATACCAGACTGGGTTTTCCACGAGTCCGTGGAAGATCTAGAACTGCCAGATCCCCTGGGAAGTACGGTGGCATTCCCATCCAAACCTGGATCCAGCTCTGGTGGATCCCATCCAGTCTGCTCCACTCCTCCCTCCGTCCGACTTGGGCGTTTCTGCCTGGCTGAGAGCTTCGTCTGGAGTTGTGTTTTCTCCTTTCCTCACCTCCTAGGAGCCTGTGGTTCCTTTTTTATCCCCCACAGTACCCAGCATTGTGAAGCAGGGGAGTCCTAGTAAGTCCATTTGGTCCAGATGCATTCTGTGTTAGAACACAGGTTGAGAGGTTAGGGGTTGAATTTGTTCCCTAAATTCAATATCAAGGTCCTGACCCTCAGTGCCTCAGGATGCGTCCTCATTTGGAAATGAGGTCACTGCAGATGTAATTAGTTAAGATGGTGGAGACACTGCTGTCCTCATCAAGGGGGACCGCGACACAGCCTGCAAACCCCAGGGCAGCAGCATAGAAGACTGGGGGTCGCAGAGCCTTCAGGGGCACCTCAGCCTCAAACTCTGGGCCTCCAGGTCACAGGACAAATGCACACACCAGGGCTCCCAGCAAGGCCCGGGGTGATCCCTGACCTGCACTGACACCCCAGCCTTGGTGGATCCAGGTCTCCTACAGGGCGCAGCATGGATTTGGTGAGCTTCTCTGCCCTCTCCTCCTGGGACAAACAGAGAAAACCCAGTTCCTGAGTTTTCACGGTGAGTTAAGTGACTCCATCTGCTTCGTCCGAGGCTAAAATTCAAACTGCATGCTAGCATGGCTTGCATTAACCTTGCAGGGTTTCCTGCATCCGGATCTCACCTCCTTGGACTACAGGACCTGAGATGTCATCAGAAGGAACTTGGTACTACTAGGGCCCAGGACACCATGGCTTTTGTATGTCCCCAACACAAGGGAGCAAGGGTGTCTAGGCAGAGAGAGGTCACAGAGCACGCCCTTCATACACAGGACGGGACACTCCCGACCCTTCTTTCTCCCCCTTACAGCAGGGAAACTTGGTGGCGGTCATGGAAAGTTCCTCTTCCGCAGCACCCATGGGAAGGCTCCTCGTGCACCTCTGCCCACTGTCCAACCTCCCACCCTCCTAGAAACACAGAGGGGCTTCACCAAGGGGACCCAAACCCAGGCTTCTCTAAGCAGGAGGATGCCTGGAGCTCCATGAATGTCCCTCCCTGCTCTGAAAAGAGGAGCCCACAGTCCTGCAGAAGCCCGCGGGATGTTTGCCTAATAGCACGCTCCGGGACCTTTCCTGTCGCCTCAGCCTCGTGGCAGATGTTAGGCTGTGGATGTGCAAAAGTAAAGCCTCAGGCTGCTCCCACAGCCACCACTGCCAAGGTGCCCATGTGGAAGCCGAGTCAAGCAAAGATCCTTTCAGCCCCACACAGAGATGTTCGGTGACGTTTCTAAATGTCCCTTGGTAAGGTAAAGGGACCCAGAGTCACACGCCCTCACTGAGTCAGAGCTGGCCCACATGCAGGCCCTTTGGCACGTTACCACATGCAAGTGCTGGCAAGAGCACAGGTGACTTCCGGGGAAATGGGGACTCCCGAGCCAGGACTTGAGAGACAGACTGGCTAATATTTGACTCCCAAAACCTACCTTTGAGCTCGAGTACCAGGAATTCTGTTTATAATTTGGTGCTCTGATGCTCAACTTTCATGGTGATAGAATCCGTTTTGAATAAAACAACAGGGGTCCCAAGGGCCAAAACAGCAGTTTCGACCTGAGAAACGGCCCACGTGGCCATAGTTTTGAAATGTATCTGTCCCAATCTGGCTGCTATGGACTAAACATTTTAATCATTCCTTTCTTTGTTGTTTTAGAGATGAAAAGAACACTACAGTTTTCCAACAAGATCTTTTTCGAAATTTAAAAAAGAAAATGATTGTGGAACTTAGCTGATCAATATTAATGCAGCTAACACAACAAAGAACCTGGGGCTTTGCCGGTGACATGGCTCTGCCGACCCCACGTGGGAAGTTTCTTACAGCTTTGCTCTGCGAAGTGGAATAGCGTTTTCTTTAAGCCTGTTTTGGTAAACTTAGTGTGCATCTCAGTCTACAGCATCTGTCTTTTATTATGAGAGGTACCAACACCCAGAAGGCAGCCTTCATTCCCCATGCCCTGAAAGGTCCGTCCTGCTCCCGGCCCTCTCAGATCCTGTCAAATCCTGATTTCATCCATTACTTTCATTTACAGGCAACATTTTTACTTCAAAGATGGGCAGGTTATTCATTCCAAAATGTGGGTCCTGTTTTCATAAAAATGTTCCAAGGCAGAAAAACACCTAAAACAAACGGTCCTGCATGCAATATCCATGTTAAATCAACTGCTTCCTGGCCAGATTTTAAAAGTAGCACCATACTGTGCAAACTTAGGAACAAAAACTAAGCATTTTACTTTTTCCAAGCCACTTAATTAACATTTGAGTACTAACAGATTATCATCCTGCCTGGGGGCCAGTGTACCCCATGGAAAATTAAATAGCTCTTCCGAATAACAGAGCAGTTCGGTTTCCAAATTTAACACTTTTTAATTGTCCACCTTCTTGTACATTATATACTGGCTCCAAAAGCTGGAGGTACAACTTCAGTACATCTGATGTTAGTGGGCGCCTGCTCCGGAGGCCCCGTGAGCTGCCAGGGGGGCAGCTCACAGACAAGGTCAAGGATCGCCCTGCGGCCCAGAGAGCCCCCAGCCTGTTCCTGCGACCAGGAGAGGAAATCTGGATTCCTACACCGGCCATGAAAGATCCCGGGCTTGAACCCAGCGCGTGCGGGCTGCAGGCTTAGGCACGGGAGAATTCTTTCGTGGGCAAAGTAGAAAGTCATGCAGAGCCCCGGCCGCGGCTGGGGGCGGCTGTGTCTTTTCAACAGCGCTGTCAGGGCTCCAGGAAGCAGAAGGAGGGTGGGCTCGGGCCGGCCGCGGTGACGCCGGCGAAAACCAGACAAACAAAGCCCTCGCGGGCAGCTGCCTCTCCGCGTCCCTGGCCCGGCCCGGCCCGGCCCCGCCGCACACAATGGCGCCCCGGCTCCGCCGCCGCCGCGGGCCGCGCACAAAGGAGAGCGCGCCAGGTGCTCTGCGCGCATCGCGGCCGGGCGCGGCCGGGGACACTTACTTTCTCGATGGTCCCGGGCAGCAGGCGCTCCAGCAGCCTGCAGAGGACCACGCCATCCTTCAGCGACGCCTGCAGGAAGCCCTCCGGGTCCGCCACGGTCTTCTTGGGCGACTCCAGCACCCCCAGGGTGATGAGCCACGTAACGGTCTGCTCGGCCGAATTCATCGCGGCGGCTGCGGCGGCGGCGCG